TATATATATTGACTAGTGAATGTAAACTCTCCAAAAACCAATTAAATTATAACTAAAACACAAATGGTATTTGAAAGCTTACATTAACTGGTCTGTTATTTCAAATAATACACTTTCCTAATGATTCTTCATATTTCCTTCTCCTAACTTAAGATATGATACTTTTGCAGGTTGTTAGAAAAATCTAATACAGTACTTAAAAAAATGAATTTTTTTTTCTTTAGGTAAATAACATGTTATTTAACCTTTTTCATCATGTGATGTTTAAAGTAGTGATATATTTTAAATTATTCACAATTCCAATGAATTATAAAAATGTTATTAGCAATAATACTGCCAATTGTCCAAAGTTATTATACTAGATTTCTAGATCATCCTGCATAATATATACAACAATTTCAGCATATTTTTATAAAATATGCTAAAAGAAAAATTTAAAAAAAAAATTCTAAAGAAAAACATTTCCTCTTATTTCGAATACGTGCCTTATACGTTCAAAGAAATTTCCTCGCTTCAGGATTTACCAATATTTAGTCGCAAGTTTACATTTTTACCAATGATCATTTACAAATTATTTCGTTAGAATGTACTAAAATTACTTTCCATTTAATCGCAAGTATTTCATTTATAAGTAACACGTGTGATTATTAAGGAAAGCATGATTTTCCTTATCTTAAATCATGTTACGTGTTGAATTCGTTCACCAAAACTTCACGCGATTCGAATGATCTAAAATTTTCTAAAATATTAAACTGCAAACAAACTTGAATTGCCCAGTGCTGTGAACCTTTTGCAATTAAATCATTATTAAACAATGCGATTTCAACATATACATATCTAATTGTCATTCTTATGTCATGTACATTTCATTATAAAGTGTAATAATATATTTTGGACAAATTATTTCTAATCTCTGAATTTTGCATTATTAAATATTTTTTAATATATTCTATATCAATGTATTGTATACATTTGCTTCATATTGCCAATTAATACACACAGATAATGAATGAAAGAGTTACATAATTTATTAAAAAGGGGAAAGAAACAATTGAATCCAAATCACACGTATATATACTGAACTGAATTAAATAGCACAGTCAACAAATTTCTACATAATGTAGCAAACGATTAGAGGCATCATAGTCCCAATCTTAAATACGAATTGGCTTGGATCAACCATAGGTCACAGCAAAACAGGAACAACGCACTGGTTTCAGTTTGTTCGTTATTAACTATCGAAGCTCTTGAGCTGTTCTGTTTTCGATTCATTTCACGTTACCTAATCTTATTCTTTACATTAAATATATTTATACATAATTTATTAATTGTTAATCAAAGTTGTCAAGTCAGTTCGAAATACTGGCAGAGAGCTCATTGTCATTTACTGCCAATATTACATGCAATGAGATCATTTGAGTGCATGGATTAAAATACTCTTGGATACGAGTTTCCCAACCCGTACAATTTTTGTTAAGATTTATCAATGACAGAGTATTAACATATCCAGAAACTAGCATTTAGATTCGACCACTGCTGTGTATAACGTATATATATATATATATCTGTAATATATGTATATATATACGTTATACATATGTATACATGTATATATACATATATATATACATGTATATAAACATGTATATGTATATATATGTATATATACACATATGTATATGTATATATATGTATGTATACACATATGTATATGTACATATATATACATATACACACACACACATATATTGCAATGATGCACATCGAAATTGATTGCGCGTTAGAAAAGAAATGCGAATGTCGTTCGTGATTAACTAACTCGGCGGAACTAGCATTTCCTAGAATTTTCAAAAATACATCGTTCTTCGATGATCTTATTATTATGACCTGTACTAT